ATAGACGATTTCAATAGCTGATGATGAATAGCTGCTGATCGGTCGAACAGGTTGCTGTTGATTTGGCCGGTAGATGGGAACCTCTCAGCGAAAACAAATTAATCTTGTTTTGCCACTGACAGTGGATCGTGGTCGCACTTTCTTCTGCGACCCGAGTTTTTCCATTTGCCTTGCAGCATGTTTGATGATGCTCCCGGCTGTCCGGCTGCCCGGCGGGAGCAAGGCGAGCGTTGCCTCCAGATGTTTGATTTCAGCCTGATGCTGTTCCTTTGTTATTGTTGTTGTTGTTGCGCCTACCTTGCGCCTTCTGTTTAATGATCAATTTGTTGGCCTCTGATCGTGCCGACAGCGTTTAGCAGTTGCCACTCGTTTGGTTTGGCTTGGTTTGCTTGTGCCACTCGCTGCCACTCGCTGCCTCCTCTGCTGCGCGGGTCAGCCTAATGAGTTTCATAAAAGTGGGTGTATTTGGCAGCGGTGCCCCCTTGTCTTCCCGCACCCACTTTGTGCAAATGACGAATGTGTAAATGTGGCCAACATTTTTTGGCCAGACAAGGCGACGTCGTCGTCATCGGGTCTGGCCGTGTCGAAATGTGGTTACCAGTTGCTCTGGCCGACATTTGCGGCCAACCATTGGATTATGCTTTTGTGGGCAGACATTTGTAAACTGCCTTCTGGCAGTGTGAGAGCTTCCCTTTCAATCGAAACATAAAATATGCTAATTTGCATACAATGCACTTCGCTGGAAGCCGGCTCGTGACCCACAAACAACTAATGCCTGCAATTAGCCAAACTAAACAGACTGCGCTGAGATCAGGCAAGGGTTAAGGTTTAGGGTTAATCGCATTCTCCTTGCTGCTGATCGGCCAAATATCGGAAAAGCCCTCCCGAGAGGGGCGTTGGCTGCGTTAAGCCGCAGCCGCAGCCACAGCTACCTGAGACGCCACCCATCCGCGGGTTTAACTCGTTGCCGGCCCGAACTCCGTACAGCCATGTCAAATCGTTTACAAATGTTGATCAATAAAACGCCAGACTGCAGTGCGATTAGCCGCTATAATCGTGTTCAGCGACTGGGCTCGAAATGCTTAGCAAACTTTTGCACAAATATTTGAAAAAGTCAAAAACTCGGCCCGATTCGGCTCTAAGCTGTACTGACTTTTCCGCTAATCTTGCCATTTGTTTGCATGCTTTAGCTCGGATTTCGTTTTATGGGCCCGTGCTCCTGCTGAATCCTGGAAACTTCATTGGTGGTAGCCTAGGGGGCAGCAACTGCTTTTGCACATTGAGACTTGTATTTACCAAAAATAGCTGCGGATTAGACATAAAGTCAAAGTACGCCTGCTCAACTCACTCCCATGACTTTGTCGAAACTGAAAAGAGTTTTAGGTGGAAGAACATGGTTCGAACAAAATTTTCTTTTGAAAAAAAAAAACTTACTGGCTCAGAGAAAATGTTGTATTTAAAATTAATTTTAAATCAAACAACTATTTTGTTGATTTGGGAACTTAAGTCTATTTAATCGATTGAGGATATTATTTAAATATGGATTTTTAGGGTATCATAAATCAGGTCAAACAGGAAACAAATGTTGACAACCGACCTTAATGGACTTCAAGTTCATAAAACTTTGTCAAAACCCGATTTTCGTTTAAAATTACGAAGATTAATCACCATACACTTGTTTTAAAGTAAATAAATGTAGTAGACAGACAAAATATTTTATCAGAAATCCTTCACCCTCTGATCCCATATCGAAAGCTAGCTTAAAGCTGTACCCAATCTGAGGCAGCGTGTTGTCTCATTCCCACCCGACTTCTGCTCGATTGCCGTTTATTTCTAAGAGCTCTGTGTTTTGTGGAAATTCGTTACACGGCTGCAAGATCCGCAAGAAGAGGAAGAACATCAACAAAAACAACAACAACAATATCAGCAAGAGCCACTGATAAAGACATTAGGAACTGGAGCGGGAACGGGAATGGGAACTGGGCAAACAATCAAGGCCGTTAAGCAACGTGTGTGACAAGAGGCCACATTACGTTTGGGCCAAAGCGAATTGATTGGAGAAAGACAGCGAGAGAGGGAGAGAGAGCGAGAGAGAGGGATAGAGAAACTCTAGAGAAATGTGCTGGTAAAAACATTGTACAATGATTGTTGCATGTTGTGTTTTGTGAATTTTGTGGTAACCAAGCGTGGAGCAGGCACGACTAAGTTGATTACGCCTGGACCAGAGACAGGTGTGTGTGTGGGCTGTGTTGGATGCAAACTCAAACACAGCAGGCCCGCCAGATAATATGGGTCTGATGGGTATACAAATTTCGACTTTTGCGTTTTTTAAGAATTTTTCCCAATGTTTGACTTGATTTAAGTATAAAATTCGTAATTTTTCTACTCCATTTAAGTTAGTGTAGCACCATTACCCTATAAATGCACTGACCTTATCCGAAACGACTCCACTGCTATCGATTGAAGGCACATTTGTCCGTCTTCGGAATGCAGGGCGCGCGCCTTGGGTGCGAACCGTGTTAGATATACGGATACGGCAGCAGGTACGCCGGATGGCGAAACTTGAAGATGATATTCATTCATAGCGCCGTAGGTGGGCATCATAAAAAGTCTTTTAGCACTCTTTATTCATGGAGGGCTGTGTTGCCATTTTGCCGAGCTGGGCTTTACGTGGAAATATGTGAGGGATGTTTATGGCAGGGTATTGCCTCCTACTGTTTCCTTGGCTGTTGTTGTTGCTGTTGTTGTTGTTGTTGGAATGAAGACTCTGATGCCTGTCATTTGGCGCGTTGATAGCGCAAAATTAGCGTTATATGAGCTGCCTTTTCAGCGCTCATTGTTGGGCCAAATCGAGAAATCAACGAGGTTCAACGAGGTACAACAACGGCCGTACATATGACTTATTGGGCTGGGCCAGTTGCCCAAGCGCCAGTTCTAGTCTTGAGATGTGTTCCAATCTCTGTCAAGGTCGCGCTCTTGCTATCCAGCCAGGCGGAAATGTCTTCACTTGGTACTCCCGTTGGGTTTGCTTAACCAAAAACCCAACGGGCAGCCGTACCGAGCAGTAGAAACCCCGGCTTTGTTGGCTTGCGGCCTCCGTTGTCCTTGGCCAGGATGCGGCATTCGTTACACGATCTTCTATCTTTGATATGGCTGCATTACACCAATTTCCGCGCTGGCGTTTGCCCTCATTAATTTCAGCTCTTGGCGCTCTCCTTACCAAGTGACTGCCATTGGCTTTCTTTTCTTTTGTTTTCTTTTCCGTGTTGGATTTGCTCAGTTCGGCGCTTTATTTTTTCTTCTGAGCGGACATGCGTTGCGTGAAATTTGATAATTAATCAAACTCGCACGCTCTCCGCTTCCCGAGAGTCGTATAAAACCGACTCCGACTCCAACTCCAGCAACTCCATCGGCACCCTGTTACGGTTGAGCGTGTCAGGGATATGCTATGGTCTAAAAGGGCTAGACTTTTAGGGCTGTTTGGGATAAGTTGAGAGCAATTTATATGGGCTGGCAACTAAAAACATTTATAAATATATTATTTAATAATTTAGGCAACGTTTTTCTTTGAATTGTTGAAAACTTGAAAATAAATTTGTTTAAATTTAGCAGAAATTTTATATGGAATCTGTGAGCATATTTAAAAACCCTCGAAAAACGTCTTTTTCCAAAAACCTTTTTTATGAGAAAATAAAAATATTGAATTTTTTACCAAGTTAATTTTGGCTCGATGCGGAATATTGATATATAAAATATAGCCAATGATCTTTCTATCCTATAAAATTATTGCACATACAAATTTATCATTATGTTTAACAATAATTCATCTAAAATTTTGTGCTCTAATTATTCTGTTACTAAATTATCATAATTATTATAAATTAAGAACTTTACCTGTAATGAACAACGAAAACAAAATATATCCTCACATATGCATACACTGACATTTTATTTTGAAAAATCTCTTTACAAAATAGTGATCCTTTAGCAGAAACGGAAGTATAAAGACTTTAGCGATTTCACATCCTCAGAAGCTCACACACGTTCGTTAATATAACTTAACATTTTCTTATACAAATACTCTCCAGTTGGTTTATCAATATATCATTTTTAATTATTATATCTATCCAGATATATGATTTTTTCCCCAATACTTCAACATTCACTCAATAATCCAGACATGATCGATACCATATCCTGAGATGTTTATATAAAAACATTTATTTCAATTTTATAATAGGCTTTTCCTTTAATCCTTTGACAGGAACTAAAGTATTTCTTCAGCACACACTTAACATTTGAACATTTAATATCCTTCAACAAACACTATATAGACTTTAACAAATTGCTCACTCGTTTTGCATGGTTCAGGAAGCTGTAGAGAACTGCGCCAGAAATGATATAGTGTTTGTCGATTTGCGCTCGTGGTTAATTGGTCACTAATGAGGTATCAATAAAGGATATATAACGCTTGTAAATGTATTTAATGCATACTCGATTGCATTATACGTTGCATTCAATATATTCGGTAAACGAATGGGTTGAACAAACAAAGAATCCGTTGGCGACACCGGAAACTGGGTCAAAGGGACAAGGACTGCGAGCACGGGAAGCTCTCAAGTCAAGGCTGTTGTTGGAGTCAAACGCTGCCATTGGCCCACTGTTGGCGCTGCTAATGACGCCCTCTGGCGACGAGACGACGCGTCGTATAACGTTCCGGCCTATGATCAGCGCAAGTGCGAGCGAGTGGCAGCTAGTTTGGTGTGCTGCGATTGGTCCGCGTGGTTGTTACCTGCAACGATGGCTGACATCTTGACGGCAGCGGCTGCTGTTGCCGCTGCTGCTGCTGCTTGTCGACGACGTCTTCACAGAAAGCCAACGATCTTGCACGGCGCTGCTGTTCACAAGTCAGTACGGCACCGACTGCGCACCGAGCCAGACGCACAAACGCCAAACGTCGTGACTTGAAAAAACATTCAGTTAATAACGGTAAATAAGTGCACTTTCCGAACTGTAGCCAAATACCATTGATTATCGATAAGTGCGCTGTGACAATTATCGCAAATTGCACGCGTTATCGAATTTGAAAAGTGCTTGCGAATTCGCCGCGGGCCGTTTGTCTGGGAGAGTTTTTTTCGCGAATCTTGTCTGGCTGTGAACTATGACTGTTACCGCTTTTGCCGCCGCCATGCACAGACCCTTCTTCAATGGATATTCTGCCATGCAAGGTGAGTGACGCTTCGGCCACTTCTGATCATTAGACGCAACGCGTGACCTTCGTCGTGATTGCTTTCCGTTTCCGGGAAAGTCAATTGTTCGAGGTGTCGTAAATCAAGTGGCAACGGACACGCGCTCTCCCGCTCTCTCTCTCTCTCTCTCGGTCTACCTGGCGAATTGGGAAAAGCAAACGCAATCTTTGACTAACATTTTGTATTCTCCGTATTTGTCTTCGCAGATATGAACAGCGGCCAAGGACGTGTCAATCAGCTGGGCGGCATGTTCATCAACGGGCGCCCGCTGCCCAATAACATTCGCCTCAAGATCGTCAATATGGCCGCCGAGGGTATTCGTCCTTGTGTGATCTCACGACAGCTGCGCGTCTCGCACGGCTGTGTCTCAAAGATTCTGAATCGATATCAGGAGACCGGTTCCATACGTCCGGGTGTTATTGGCGGCTCCAAGCCGCGCATTGCCACGCCCGAAATCGAGAATCGCATTGAGGAGTACAAGCGCACCAATCCGGGTATGTTTTCCTGGGAGATACGCGAAAAGCTGATACGCGAGGGCTTCTGTGATCGCAGCATGGTGCCCTCCGTGTCGGCCATATCGCGCCTGGTGCGGGGTCGCGATGCGCCCCTTGACAACGAGTCCAATGCCAAGCCATCATCCGGGTCGTGCAGCTCAGATCCGTGCGGCTCGAACTCGATGCACAACAACAACAACAACAGCAAACCCTCCGACGAGGAAGTCTCCGATTGTGAGAGCGAGCCGGGCATTGCGCTCAAGCGCAAACAACGCCGCTGCCGCACCACCTTCTCGGCATCACAGCTGGAGGAGCTGGAGCGCGCCTTCGAGCGCACCCAATATCCGGACATCTTCACGCGCGAGGAGTTGGCCCAGCGCACCAATCTGACCGAGGCGCGTATCCAGGTGTGGTTCAGCAATCGTCGCGCCCGCCTGCGCAAACAGCACACCTCCGTTGCCGGCAGCAGCGTCTCCGTGACGCCCGTCTCCTTGCCGCCGAGCAGCAGCAGCGTGACCAGCAGCCACCTGTCGCCGCTGGCCATGATGGGCGGCATGCCGCCGTCACTGGACGCTGTCTATCAGCATCAGTACGATTTCTATAGCAGCGCCGCGCCGGTGGCCCCGACTTCGAGCAGCAGCAGCTTGTCGCCGCTCTGCAGCAATTTGTCGCCGCTGAACACGGCGCACAATACGCCGCCGCCGCCGCTGCCACATCATCATCAGTTTTATAATCCCGCCATGGCCAGCACGGCCAGCTACATTATGCCCAGCTCGGTGACCAATTCGGCCGAGCAGGCGCACTATGAGAGCCAGTTGGGCTCCGTTTACAGCACTGAATCTGAGCCGCATCAGACAATGCCACGTAATGCGAGCCCCAATGAGTCGATCTCCTCCGGCTTTGGCCAATTGCCGCCCACGCCCAACAGCCTGTCCGCCGCCGTGGTGGGTGGCGGCTCCGCCTCCTCTGAGACCACGACCTCCCTGACCAATGTCAGCGGCGGCAGCGAAGAGCTTAGCGCCGCGCTCAAGGTGGAGGCCGCCGAATTGGCCGCTGCTGCTGCCGTCGCGGCCAGCGTCCAACTGCCGCAACAACAACAGCAACAGCAACAACAACAACAACTCTACAGCAGCTGGAGCGCCAGCATGCAGAGCATGCGTCCCAATGCGCCGCTCTCGCCGGAGGATTCACTGAACTCCACCAGTTCGACGACCAACGCCTTGGAGGTGTCTGCCGTGTCTGCCGCTCACCAGATGTTCCATCCATATCAGCATACGGCCGCACAATATGCGCCATATCCCACACAAGCAACACACACTGGACACACACATCCCCATCCCCATCCCCATGCCCATCATCCGCATGCGCATGCCCCGCATCCCCATGCCCATGCCCATGCGCAGTATGGAACGTCGCATTATCCGCCCAATTCGTCGGCGCATTTTATGCCGCAAAACTTCAATGCGGCCGCGGCAGCTGCTGCCGCCTTCTCCTCGCCCAGCAAGATGAACTATTCAGCGATGCCGCCGCAGACGTTCTATCCCACCTGGTACTGAGCGGGAGGGGTAGCGCAAACAGAAGCTGGAGCTGGAGCTGGAGCGGAAGCGGGAGCAGGTGTTGAGCCACCATCTCTAACCTTTTCACTGACGTCGCCAAAGATTCATGTACACTAGCATATATTCATCGTGGAGTCGCCGCCACATGTCAATCTCTAAGCATTTACCAATTACCTATTTCTCTAGGCATAAGTTTCGAGTTCTTAAGTTTCCAAAAGTAAATATATATATATATATTAATTTATAAAATAGTTGAGCGTCTTTTAATTGCCAACCTTAGGCAGCCCAATCCCTGGAATTCGCCCGTGTCCATTCAGTAGCTCGGACCTTGACACGCTTCTGTTGCCAGCAGGACACTTTGGGAATATCTCAAAATGCAGCTCAAAGGCGCAGCCAGCGCACATTAGGGCCTTTAAGTAGCGTCTCTCGCCAAGTTTTCAACAAACTCAACGGGAGGGACATTTCCAGCCGGCATGCTGTGAGTCCAGATTTACTCAATGCCAAATGTTCCCGACTAGGCGATACTCTGTGTCTATACTCACGCACACACAGATACACTCATACGCACACAAGCACAGATGCTACAGCAGCTTCTCTTCTCCCCTCAGCTCCATACCATGCAAAAATCATTTATCAATAACTTTTGTGTTATATACAAAAAATCAAGACCTCTTAAAAAGATGTACATCCTATACTCTTTTGGACTACGGATGCACTTACCCCATCTTCATAATTTGAACTAATATCTGACCTTAGCTGTATCATTCAGGAATTATCCATGAACCCTGGTTCTGGTTCAAATCCTAAATCGTCACATTTTTTGCAGCTTTGTTAGAAACAACCTAAATGGAAATTCTTATAATATGTGTATATAAATTAGGCCACTTGAAAAGGGGGCTGTGGGGAAGTTATCAAAAAGCGTAATACTTCTGATCTTTGTGTGCCACACGAGAACAAATTTGCCCTAGCTCTTATATTCTCTGACATAAGTTGGAAAAAAGCAGAAAACTGATATTTATCAATTTAAGGAGAAGGGAGAGCGCTTTAAATAGATGAAAATGCATATGGTAGAGAGGAAATTATATACATATATTTTTTTGGCTTAATTAATAAACTTCAACTGTTAATGCTCTACGACCTACATTTCATATCTAAAACTGCCGAATCCGCGAGAACTGCCCAGAAAACCAATTATAAGCATCGATATTTATCGATTTTCAGGGAAATGAAGTGAGCAATTGGTAGTATGATCAGAAAACTTGGCTGTTTATGGTCTGTTAAGCTCCAACCGACTCCGATTTTGGGATGAACAGACGAACGGACATGCCTCGATTAACTCGACTATTTATGTATCTATACTTTAAGTGTTCAAAGTTGCCTCGGACATACATACGCACAGCACCAATTATACCCTGTCTTGGCCATTTTTAAGGCATAAGGAAGTCTTCTCGTTCCTTACAATACCCATCAAAATCGGCCCAAAACTCCAACCAAGGTGTTAATGGCCCATCAATTCTATCGAATTGTCCTAATTGCCCTATTTTGAGACCCAACAATTTACCTCAAATTCACACCTCTTGCTTGCTCACTTTCCACATTATCCTGCCGTACCATCTAGGCACTGTCTCAACACCTACGCGTATGCCCAGCTAGTTATGTTATCTACGTGTGCAACAAGTGGCAATTAATGGAGTCATGCTCTCAGTCGCAGACAGCTCAGACAAGCCCAGGTATTTCGTGTGTATCTCAGTTGTATATTATTTTAATCTAGTTTTATCCCAGGTTGAAAAATGTGTTCTTTCTCTTTGCGGACAGCCAAAGTAAATATTGACTCTGCAATCGACTTAGGATTTAAGTTCCAGGTACTTTCTGCACATTTTTGCACAAATTGCACAAAATCCATTTACAACTTAAGATTTGTATCAAAATTTTTTCATTTTTCATTTTGTTTTTCTTTTAAGGAACAACTTATGTGTTTTTTAGACTGTATAATATTAGAGTTCAGTTGATGCAGGCTTATCCTTCCGTGCGTCTTTCTGCTGCATTGAAAATTCTTTCAATCTCATAGAACTTTCATACTTTCGAAATTTAACTAATATATCATATAATGCTTATAAGAGTTATCAGAGCATAGATATGCTGTTTATGAATGTTCCTTAACAGAGTACTATGAACTTTCTTAAGCTACTTTTAATCCTTTCAAAGTAGGACTTCTTTGACATATAGCTGCCATATCATATGGTTGTTGATCGATAATTGATTGAGTTATTGTATGGGAAACTTATTTATTAAACTAAATCTTGAGAAATTTATCAATAAAGAGCTGCTTCATATAACTAATAGGAGTATGTTATTAGGATCTCAAATAGCTCCTCTATAAATGTTTTTATATATTTTTTTTTTTTGATTTCAAGATCTGCTTTTGAAATACAATCAAATTAATATCGACATCGGATCACTATATCATACAGCTTCTATAGGCGCAGAATTTTTCAGCATTTCACAACCTGAATATATTTTTAACTCTTACTTTGGCCTGTTTAAATAGTGCACATTCGGTTTTTTTTTAAATTTTTTTTATAGGTTATCCCCCTAAATTTCGTAGCTTGTCTAATGTCAATTTAATAGTACCCAAGATCTCTCTCCAAATCATCATCTCCAGCCAAGCTAATAATGCAATAAACTCAATAGACTCGAACTTTAATTAAAATTTGATCATCAGGCAGCCGAGAGCCAACACTTCCAGCAATGCCCACATATTGAGTACGGTAGCCGGGAAAGCTACGTTCGACAAATGTTTTGTAAATGTTACAAATCTTAAATACTACGCATTAATTTTCGGTAGCGAAAAGGAATTACAAGCAATCTCCAGAGTCGAAGTTCGTAAGCTTAAACTCGGACTTGAACTTTACAGCTCTCCACAGAGTCTTTCGACTAATGAACTTTTACTGAGCCGCTCCACTTCGACGACGCGTCGCTCCTGGTTGGCTTCGGCTCCACGGAGTGAGATTGAGGGGAAGAGAGAGAGAGATCAGGGGCGGAGGCTGCTTTGGGTTCAGTTGACTTGATTAATGGAACCGACAATGTGTTGAACATCAAAAGGTAGGAAAATAGTAATTTACAATATATACGCAGCGCCGAGCCAAAGATGAGCTACAAATTTAATTTATTATGCCCTAACAGAGGGTGTTCTAATTAATTCAAGAGGTTTGTGACTCATTAAAATAAAATAGTATTATTATCTGTTATCAGATTGATGTACATCATAAAATCTTTCCTATAGACAGCTAAAAAACTTGTTTTGTTGTTTGTTGTTTTTTTTGGGCTACTTGGTAAAAAATGATTTCGCCGGTTCAAATTCAATGCCTTGCTAATATTTTATACAGCGGATCTTATGCTTCAATTATAAATAAAACTTTTTTTAATATTTTGTACTAGTAGGTATTATATAAAAAATAAAAAAGTTGTTTTCCACCCGTTTTTCGATTGTGAAAGTGAATTTATACTTTCCTTGAAAAGTGATTCATTATTTTAATTAAATTAATATTTGAATTCGATCGAAGAAGTAGATCCCATTTTCCACAAACGTATAAGAATGTTCGCTAATGAAGTTTACCACTCGAAAATGAGTTTGATTAACGATCAATAAAGGGTATGCAGTCTTCGTCGTCTGTAGGACTCGTAACACTTCTTCTTACGAGTTTTTTATAATTCAGACATAATTATAAATGGTTAGCCAGACAGCGTGCGTGTACCTGTTGCAATGCTCGCGATGATGGTCCAATTATAGCAGCAATTCGCACTCCGTGCAGGACATGTGTATGGATCAGGCGTTGCCTGGGAGATAAGAAGCGCAAAACCTCAAAATATTTACAGGGCCAGGCGACAGACTGAGTCGGTAAATGAGCGGGCTGTCCCAAAATATTTGGCAAACTGTGTGCGAATAAAATGCAGTTCCAGAAGGCAGGATTCAGGCAGGGTATCAGTACGGTTCGTAAGGTGGCGAAAGGATTTGCCCTGCAGACAGGGACAGACACCGGACTGGAGGATTAGGCAGTTCGGAAATAATCCTTTGCTGCCAGGAAGCATGCAGTAAACGGCGCACTAGCCCATCCTTTCGCAGCAGCACAACTTCGACTCACTTTACGACAGATCATAAAGTTTTATTTGCCGTCATTCTTTCGTCCTGGCCGAAGCGCATGCCCAGCACTCAGCCCGAGTGGGAACCCCTTTTGGGCGAAAGTCGCGCACAGGCAAGAGTTAAGCGGGAAAAGGCTTAGCTTTCCAGCTCGAGCTCGACGCTACGGAACGGAGTCAAAGTCAGGTAGCTAGAGATAGGGAGAGGTCCTGCCTGGCAGGACGAGGCCGAGGTTGTTCTGCTCGTCGCAAGGGCCGATAATCCCTGCTAATGAGGTGTTTGCTGCAAATGTGAGACAGTGAAACATTTAAGGCTGAAAACTAGAAAGTCTGTAAGTCAAGGATAATCGAGGATAATGCGCACAAGTCCTTTAGATATCCAGGCTGAATGAACTGCTATATGTAAATCCTACTCTCTTTGACGCACCAGGAAAGAGGCTCTTTTAGTCGCCTCTTACGACAAGCAGTGCCATACTGTGGTGGTTATTCTTAAGCCCCGCCAACCACACGGGTGATTCATTTGCTAAAAATATATTTTCAAGCTATATTTCCTACCAGTAATTATAGATAGAGCGCCAAACAGTCTTTCACACTTTCAATTACAAATGTATGGTCACAAACTATTTTACAAATCCCTTTAAGAAATCATACTCCTCCACACTTTCAACTACAGCTATATCGTTAAGTTTTAAATCAAAGACATATAGGGAAAATACTTTCATTTATTTTCTAAAATATAGCCACACAATTAAAAATAGATATACTTTGTCATAATGACCAACAAAACAAGAACCTCCCAGTCTTATCATCAGCAGACTTTGCTAAACTTGCTTTTACGTTTTGCAGGACTTAACTAAGTGCGAAGGTATAACCGCTTGAGAATTATAAGCAAGCAAATGGCGATAAAGCCAGCATAACCGAAGCCTACGCTCATGTGCTTACGCTTGCGGCTTACAATGTGATTCTATCTATATCTATCTATATTTATATGTCAAAGCTTTCTTCTCAGTGTTAAAGATATCTTCAAAGTATTTTGCAGCTCTTTGCCAAAGTATCGCCACGCTATCAACTACAGATTGTTAGCATATAGGTACAGATAGGAACATATTGGAATAGATTTCAAATATATTACAAGCTCTGCTCATGCTTCGGCTCCTTCATTCTGTATGCAATAATAATAGATCGCAGTTTAAATAGCTCACGCCACGACACATCCAGAGGAACCCAATCAATGTCTATTGGCAAACATTTTGGTTTGGTTTGTCACGACGAACTACTGTCTGGCTGTTCAGTTGGCCGTGTTCGCCGATAGACACATGCAGTTTGTGTCCTGCGTCCTGTGTCCTGGTGCTCGTCCAGTGTCCTGTTGCACGCATTGCTGTCCCACAGCGGAGCGCATGCTGTTAGCTCACGAATTGATTTGTCAAATGGAGGCGCACAAGGACATTGCGATCATTAACCATGATTGCAGGACACGCCGAAGGTCGTTGCGCAGTCGGACATTGTCAACACTTTGTAGCTGCGACCTGGCACCACCAACTGTGCTTGTTTCGCGACTGAAGATCTCACTTCATCTCTCTCCCTCTCTGCCAGTTGGAGTTTTATTAATAAACACATAGAAGCAAGAGCTACAGATAGGAAGAGTCACTAAGCGAGAGAGAGAGGGAGAGAGAGAGAGAGAGGTATATGCTTTTGATCTTGCAAATAGTCGTAATCGATTCGGAATGCTTGGCGGGACCCGCTGCTGCTGCTCCTATTTGTGTTCCCTCTTGGTTAGCAACTTGTCAGCTTCCTTTTGGGCAACTTCACCCAGCAAGTGTCTTCTTCTGTTCAGTAGATGCCACCACAAACCAACTGCAGTTTTTGAGTTAACACTCTGGAACCGTTACGCTATTTTAGGGAAGCAAAAATCGTAGAAGATGCGGACAAAAATTTTCGAATAGAACATAAATTGTTTGAAAATTAGAAACAAAATATTGTCTAGTCTAGTTGCAGGAAGGATTGGGTATGATAACCTATATAGCATTATTTTTTTTTAACCTTTTTCATTTCCCATTTAGCTATACTAATTGGCGATATACAAACCCATTTTAAATGAACTTTAATTAACTAGTGTAGCTTTCTATTGCGTCTACCCGCAGACAGGTGGCGCCCTTCAGTAGCAGCCCAAACGGGGCGGTATATAGCGCGCACGTAAGTCTAGCTAGGTTCATGCCATCTAATACAATAAATGGACAATGCTAATGTGCTCACCTGTGCTCAACTGACATTATAATTAATGACAAATAGTCAAAAGCGACGGCTGAAGGGCAATCATGAGAGAACAATGGGCATATTATGTGAAATGCGGCGAGCGAGGGCAGTTCGATTTTCGATATACTCAGACTCAGTCTTATCGCCTGGGCGATACCTAGCTGCTGCTGCTGCTGCATATTAATATTAATGGTTTATTATTATATGTATGACCTGGTGCCTCAGTGCTGCCGCTGCTCCAGCAACAGCTCCAGCTCCAGTCGGGCTCTGTCCAGTTCGACGGGCTCCTTTTGGGTTTGCCGTGTGCTTTGTTCACGCCGCGATTGCTTCACTGCACTGACGCCTGGCGTGACGATTTTAATTTTTTTTTATTATTATTATGTATATTGCGGCACAGGGAGCTTGCAGTCGCCCCCGTGACTGCCACAAGGGAGCGAGACAAGCAGACAAATAGAGGGAGAGCGCAAATGTCGATGCTTGAGTTATGCATCGCACAATAGTTGTTGATGTTGGTGTTGTTGAATACTCTGTTTACAGTATGAAAAGGAGTTTATTTTGTAGATAACTAGCCAAGATTTTAAAGTTACAGTTTGAGAACCACGGGCCAACTCTTACAGTGTACCGTACAGTTTAAGAGCCACTAACTGCAAAACTACCATTACCCCTAGACTCACTAGGTTTCTTGTTACAGTTTGAAAGTAGCTGCCTTTCGGCCTTTTCCCCGGTTATAATGTGACAATTTGTAACAGACGTTGGCTAACCGTTTGACAACCACTCTTACCGTTCAAGAGTCACTTAGAATCAACGCTCCTTTCGCCAGTTGTATACTTTCCCATACGAAAGTATATTCCTGACTGTTACAGTTTGAGAGCCACGGACCATACTCGCTAGGTTTCTTGTTACAGTTTGAAAGTAACTACCTTTGGTCTGTCTTCCCCCAGTTTTAATGTGACAATTTCTAGCAGACGTTGGCTAACAGTTTTAGAGTCATAATCATTAAGACTATTTGCTACCTACTTTCAGCTATTATTACAGTGTATTGTACAGTCGGTTGCACTCGACTGGAATACTTTTACTAGCTTTTTATGGTAGCCATCGTAATTAGTCGCACGCTTCGCAGCCAGCGCCACCTAGCGGCCGGAGAGTAACGAACGACATTGCTCGACATTCCTTGAAGGCAGGCCCCAAACTAACGTTGGCGCAGCTAATGAAGCCCCCTTCACGGTGTGCGCCAATAGCTATTGTGGCCAACTCCGACAATGTAGCCGTAGACCCGGCCTCAGCCGCAGCCGCAACCCGGCTTCAAGTCGACTTCATGGACGCGTGCAAATTCCGTTGAAAAAAAAGAAGTTTTTTGTTTCTTGCTTTATCTGCATTTTGCCTGCAATTTACGTACTTTGAGTTTATTTTCGTTATTTAAAACCGACTAAATGCGGCATGCAGCACGTTTGCGGCTCAATGTTGGCTTCTGCATATATTTGTATAGTTATTGTATGCGGAAATTAAGTTTGACTTGTGGCGGAGTTTTTTCAGTGGAAATGATTAAGAACTTGTGAACATGAAATTATATAGAAGTTCTCTAAGGATATTTTATTTGTGCTGTAAGGAATTGCAAATTGAGAGAGATTGCCAGGCTTGATTCCAAGATGTGTGAAATATAATCTAGATTTCCCAATTACTCCCCATTATAAAATAATTTTCTCTTTATTTTATTAAACCTTTTGGTTGTGTTGGCCGATTTGAGGCTTGAGCCTCGCCTTCCCCAATATATACAAAATATACACAAGCTTTGGTAGAAATTCTTTAAAATATGGCGGAACGGCAGCGCCGCAGTACAACTTTATCCACCCGGGCACGCTCCACGCCATAGCCATGCCAGAGCGTATCCGGCGGCTTGTTCCAACTGACAAAGTAGGTCTTGTGCACGGCGGCCAGTTGGGCTCTGGGCCGGCTGGCAAGGCGCCGCCGGAAGGGCCAGAGGAACCAGTGCAGCGGGCCGCGGCTGCTGGCATGTGCAGATGCATCAGCTGGCGGCGGCGATTGAAGCGTCTCCAATTGCAGCTGCATTGGTGCAGGAAGCGCGCTCCGCTGTGGCAGCGGCTGCTCCACTATGACGGACTCCGGCACAGATTTGGAGGCGGGCGTGGAACTGGTCGGCATTTGTTGCTGGCCATAAGCGGGTACAATGCGCGTGCTTGAGGCAAAGACCTCGACGTCCTCATGATCGTAAGAGTTCCAGGGTCTATAGTCAGTTGGTGAGGAGGCATCCTGCTCCTCCAAGATGGGCGAAACACGGCTGCCGCGATAGCATTTAAAGCAACGCGGCAGCCGGGAGCCCAGTTTGCGCTGCAGCTCGACAGCCGCTGGCTGGAACTCCTTGGCCAGCTGCTCCTGCGGCATCTTGACCAGCATAAAGTGATCGTTGAGCAGGCAAACATCCGATACCTTCTCACACTTTTGCTCCTCTCCAAAGAACGCGTCCAAATCGACGCTTTGCGGGTAGATGCGATAATCCTCGTTGTGCACAGCCAGCAATTGTTGTCGTTGGAGCGCCAAAAGGCTGGCACTTCGCTGCGTCTGCAATTGGATGCCCACCTGGTTGACACATCTAACAAGGCCGCTAGCCTGCTGCTCGACAACGGCCGTGGTCCGGCAAATGCTGCGGCTTTTCATATAACTCCAGTTACCATAGCGCTGCTCGAAGATTCTGGCAAAGATCTGGGCGCTCTTCCGATTGCATGGCTGTCGCTGCTGCGGTATTAACGCCGTGGACAACGACATGCTGATGCGGTCAGAGTATGTTGGAATAACTTCCTATATGAAATGTTACACATCAGATAGTTAGCTGACAGTTAAAGCAGTGCATTCAATTAAACTTTCAAGGTTAAAGGGTGCGAGTGTGCGAGCGTGCGAATAGCTGATACCCTTTACCAAGCTCCGGAACACACATTTGTAAGGAATTATATACGCTTAAACTTTCAGACACACATTAAAACACGTAAGTTTCTTCGTGTCTTATTCTTATTATACACATTTTATTCTAAAATAACTTCTATGCACTTTCCCTGCATCAAGATGACATTCAAATACGTAAGTATTGTAAATCCAGGCTGTTCCCTTTAAAGTGATTTAGATCTCAGTCTGTTTCTAACAAGACTGCAAGTGCAAAAAGAAGTCGATGGTTCTGTTGGCGGTTTGAGCCAGTGACACAGTTTGAGGCTGGGTGCATGAAACTGATATCCGTGAAATTTAGTTTTGATATGAACCTTAAAGCATTTCTCTGATTATATTTATAATTTATATTTATATATTACTATTATTATTATATTTATAATAAATATTTATACATATATTACTTTTATGATTAATCCTCTAATTTATATTTATATACACTATAGATAGACACACTTTTGTTATATTATACTATGTTTATTATGATGATATGATAATTTATATTTGATCTATTTTATATAAAAATATATATCTTTGTTCATTTCAAATAATGAAAATAAATATTACTTAGCTGTCGTATTAATTATACTCTTTACTTAAATTACAATGAGCTAAAGGTCCAGGCTACAGACTTGTTTTTCTTTCCGAACTCCATTCTGCGCTCTATTAAAAACGGAAATCCAGCTGTCACTGATATAAAACTCTGTTTTTGGCTATAGGCTACAGGGTATATTAGAGAAGAACTGTTGCACACGCGTGGAAATCTATCCGTAATTGAGCTCAAATTGCAATTGAATTTCAAACGTAAGTGGAAACGTTTTTCTTGTCACAGCAGACAGCGCCCCGCCCACTATCAATATTATTTAAAAGCCAGGCAACGTTTATCCTTTGACTTTTGGCGCTGCATTTTCGTTGGGGCGCGGACTGCAGACTGGCGCCATGAAACCAAGGCGAAAGTCAGGCCAGGACATGAGTTGCTTCCGCGTCATCCAATGCCAACGGCAACAAACAACAGCCATAAGAACAACAACAATAACAACAATAAAAAAATGTATTTAATGCGGCACTGGCAACACGAAAGTTTTATTTATTATTTTGACAGGTAAACAAATCACGAGCTCAACACAAACACAAAAGCCACAAGCTAACACACACTTACTAACACACACAAACACATTTCGCTTACATTTTGCCTCTTGCCGTGTATTCGTATTTTATTCTGCCGATACTTTTTCACTGCAGTGCTCGTCGCTTGTCTCACCAATGACAACTGAAGCCGACTTTTAGGCTGCGCTGTGTTTGCGCTGCCGCAACGTAACGTAAGCGAAACGAAACGTAACGTAACGCAAGCGTAGCGGCTGCTGCTGTTGCTATCTCATTTGCATTTAGCTTTTTGTTGTTTGTTTGCCTGTTTGTTTGTTTGTTTGTTTGTTTGTTGCATGCCGGCAGACGCACACATGACACAATTGACAATTAAAAACGTACACACACAATGTCGATTTGCATTTGTCCATTAAAAGGACATTTGAATGCATTTAGTCGAGTTGGAATAGTTAATGGATTAATGTACACATAAAGTGAAGGTCAATAAATGTTGCCAAGGATATGTACTACATATTGTAACTGTATTTTATAGCTTATAGCCATAATAATGAATAAAATGCTTATAAGAAAGTTGTTCTTAAGATTCTCTGAATTTGGTTAGATTATATATCTCAATTCAGGCAATGACGGGGTGGTATGTATTTATAAGACTTGGTGTAAAGGACTGGTTTCGAAGCTTGACAGCATGCTTCGAAAAAAAACGTGATTAATTAGGTAATTTTGTGATTGTGGGACGCGAGGTGCTAATTTGTTAATCCTTTATTTCGAATCCAATTAAAAATATTAATGCATCAATCTAATTTGATTATTCAGATAGATAGGGGTTAAGTTATTTCAACAAGTATTACCTATATTTATGCATAGGCATATACATATACATATATATATTTATATTTATTACAACTCCCCTGAGCTTATCAATTATTTTTAACTTTAACATATCCAAAAGAATACTTCCTATACCCACCCATGCAGACTTCTATTTGCACCCAAACTCAGAGTCGTTATTGAGTTTGCTTTTGTCATTATTGATTGTTAATGCACGCTAATGATATAGTACAGAGTCGGGAGTCAAAACATATTGACTTTAGCGATAAGAAGGGGCGGGGCTAGCCATAAAGTCTGAGCATTAATTCAGCCGTTGTGTTAAATTGCCCATTTCGGGAATAGGCATACGGCTATTACACAGCCGGAGGGTTGTAGTTCCGCTTCGGTTCTGATTCAATCAGTTGGAGCTAAACAACAAAAAAATGCAGACAGCCTTAATTTATGACAAACAGAACAACGAAACTGATTTGACGATTTACATAATAGTCACGAAAAGTTGAATGTTTGATTTATGTGAATAGATTTATCATACTTTTATGCTCAAATAAAGGTTTCTATTTGAGAGGAGATTGGCACTTTGAGAGCTGAAAATATGTTTACAAAGCTAAGTATCACAGTGTGAAGACCAAGTCAAACTTATAAATATATTTTCTTTTGTATATATAGTTCATAAGTTGGCATTGTGATTATACGACACATTATCTTCGTCTACCCTTTACCCTAGAATGAGTAGAAGGCGTATGATGACTGGGCGTATGTTTAAAGGCACAAAGAGAAATCACCCGATAAAGTATACATAAACTTAAGTCGATAAATAAACGTCTCTCCTTTGGCTTTCCTTTCCTATAAGTGCCATCTTTCTGTTCTGAGTAAAAATAGAAGATATTTGGATAATAGTTTGGAACTGAGGGAAGAACAACTGTAAACATTGCCTGTTATTGATAGATAGACAAATGTTTGCATATACTTTAATTTATAATTATATACAGCGTATCCCCTAGTCGAGCTTTGACGAACAGATAACTCTCACATGTTAATTGAGGACATGTGCACTTGCAGCAATTGTTTCAGTCACGTCACATAGATCTTCTTCTTCTTTCGAAATAGAGATAACGGCTGATCATCGAGAGCAACTGGAAGACCAAATTGACACCAATTATGCGAACGGGTCGTCGATCGGAGCTGTGTCCAATTAACGAGCAATCGCTGAACAACGGCCCTTAACTGACCTTCTCCAACAGGGAAACATAAACAACAAATTTACTTTCAGAACAAAACAAAATACTGGTTATATCGCAAATTTAAAGAGAAAGAGAGAGAGGCGGAAAGAGCGAAAGGGGGGAGGGGAAGGGATTGGCATTGAGATAATGAAAAGTATTAATGAAGGACAAGCGAGGAACAGAACTCAGCAGCAGAGCAGCTGCCCAACCCAACGCAAGCCACAGCAATCGGTTCATTCAAGTTTATTTTTTGCGCATCGGTATGCAGCTCATTTTGCTTGATGTGAAATGATCTATGTATTTATTAAGTTGGAACATACTGAACTTGAACTTGGGCCGCGAACTGTTGCCTCGTCATCAACATAACGACAACAACCAGTCAGTTTTGATACATGGGACGCGGTTTTGTCTGCGCAAAGCTCCAAAAACGGTAAATCATGCAACAACAACATCAACAAGTAAAAGTGCTCTGATCGAGAGGATGATCGACTACAAAATACCCTGTAATAGATATGGACTCCTTAGGCAGCGCATGTGCACCACACTTTTGAAGAATGCATTCTTAAATAAATGTTGTATTCTATGCCTAATCAGCTTATAAAGCTGACTAAGGAGCTTAAACAGAGAGATAGACATGACTGGAACTGGAAAACATATGCCTGTTACATACATTTGCACAACTTCATAATACCCATTTTATCCATATTTAATGGGTATGCGGCATTAAAACAATAAAGAAACATAATGAAGCTGCATATCAGCTTTTGTTTTAAACTTGTCAACCGAAGGTCGCGCCTCTGCGTTTGTTTGGATAAACAAAAACATGTTGAAATGTGGCGTCCTTCACTTGACGCTCAATATCTGTCACCAAGGATCAGTGAGAGCAGATTGCTATTGCTCTCGCTCTCGCTCTCTCCTTCTCTCTCTGTCTGTCGCACTCTCTAGTTTTGGAGCTGGAAGCTTAGCGAGGTTGCGTTGGCTTGGCGCGCGCCCAGCTTAAATCAGTTGGTGGCAGGCAGCGAACCGTTTCGGTTGGATCGCGGTGGCAGCTGAATAAAAACGGAATACAACAACGCAGTTGCATAACGGAAATCCCAGTAATTTGTGGCAAGTTGTTTTAGTGCGAATTGAAAAACTCTTAAAGCGCACCTCGCTCTGTTGTCGCATTGGCTGCTTATTCAATTGCCAACATTTCCTCAGACATTGCAACATGTAGTTGCCACAAACAGAATCGGCCAAAAGAGACGCCAATAACTGTGCGGCGCTTGTCAGTCGGTCGCTTGGGCGGCCCATTGAGCTGTCTAACGGTAAAGCCGCCTGACGTTGACTGTGTGTGTGTGCGCGTCGCGCGCGCTTGTGTGTGCTGTGTGTGTGTGTGTTGTGCCACATTGTAGTGCACGTAATTTTCATTTTAGTGGCGTCTGCGGCAAAAACGAAAGTGAAAATGTTGCTACAGGCTGCAGCTGGTTCGCCTACGCCGCCCACCGCCCCCACCCCCCCTCTCCACTGCAGCGACTCATCAGCGTTTTCGTCTGCCGCTTGTTGAAATGAAAAGCACCGAACAACACACTTAAATTTAAGCTGAAACGTAAAAAGAAAAGAAAATGCACGCGAATACGGAAGACAACTAGTTACAGCACGTGACGTGACTTTAAATCAAACAAATAACACAATTAAAAGAAAACCTTTTTTCGTTTAAAATTTACAGGCCAATCGACACCCCAGCCGAAAGTGAATTCCATTTGATTAACATCATGATAGAGCGTGAAATTATCCAGTAAGTGCAAAATGTTAAATTAATACTTGTCTATAAATAAGTACATACATATATTAGGTATACCATACTAATGAAAAGTGCTTAGTTCAAAAATGCATATACATACATACATTAACGACAACCTTATAGCAATTATACATATACTTGCACTGTCATCGTTATAATGATTGTTTGTCAAAGTTCTAGCAGCGCGTATGCCCAACAACTAGGCCAAGATTTATCGTCAACACTCGTTGCCAAGTCCATAGCTGCGGCTGCAGTTATAGATAGAGTCCACTATCATTATGCTCCACTGTGACAAAGTCCGTTGACCGTTTGAACGTTGCACAGCCGAAATGCACTTAAAACCGCATACAAATAGATAAATTAAATGCGCCACAAATTTGCAATTATTATTGTTCTTTGCGCTTTGTTTCAAAAAAAAAAGTGTTGCCGACTCGTTTGCATAGCTGAGGTTCCTATGTTTTGTTAATTAAAACAATTAAAATAAACATTTGTCAAATTCATTTGTGGTTCTCACTTGGCGTTAATCAGATTGGGGAAATTTAAAGGTATCAAACGCTCGTCAGGCAATTTATCGCGATTATGGAAACTTAAGGACGTTATGTCCATTAAAGGCAATTTATCGGCATGAGGGAAATATACGATTGTATTTCATATTTTATAAAATAATAATAATTATCATTTTATACTCCTTACTCCTTGCCTTTAATATTACAAAATATAATTTGTCATAAAATAAACTTGATGCATAACCTAGACAATGGTAAATTGTACGATATTGCTATCGATATTTATTTTGAAATGACAGTTTAAAATGACTTTTGGAAGAAACCGAAAAAATTTAATTAAATCTTTATATATACTGAAATAACGTAGACATCTTTAGGGCAATTAAGACGTGGGCTTGGCGTGTTTCCTGGGAACTTGACAAGAGACAAATGTCGAAATGTTTAATGTTTATGTTTAATTTTAATTAGGCACCAAAGAAAGCTCTTACAATGGAAAGAGATTCTTACTTCAATTTCAGTACCACCACAGCCTCGAAGAGAATGTTTGCCTTCCTGCAGGACTTGCTGCAATTGCTGGTGCTGATTGTACGCGTGCTCCTGGAATTAACTACGGTGCTGTTGCAGTCTATGTTGCCTAGAAAGCTAAAGGATATCAGCAGCGAAATTGTCCTGGTAAGTGGCTCAATGGAATATTGTGGAATTTTTGATAATATACTCATGCATCGAAACTGCAGATAACCGGCACCGGCCATGGCATTGGCAGAGAGCTGGCCTTGCACTATGCCGCCTGTGGTTGCACGGTGGTGTGTGTGGACATCGACGAGAAGAACAACATGGACACTGTGCAGGAGGCTCGGCGCTTGAATCGTGGTGCCGTGCACAGTTTCAGGTGTGTGTGTGTCGCCCAATAGGAAATCCCCGATATTATATAAAATATAACCCATTGCAGCTGTGATGTGTCCAAGCGCGAACAGGTGCTAGCGCTGGCAAAGCGTGTGAAAACAGAGGTGGGCTCTGTGTCTGTGCTGGTGAATAATGTGGGCATAATGCCGACGCATCCCTTGCCACAGCAATCAGCCGAGGAAATACAGCGTGTGTTCGATGTCAACGTATTCTCGCAATTCTGGACAATACAAGCGTTCCTAGATCAAATGAAGGAATGTCGCAACGGCCACATTATCTCTATATCGTCCATTGCCGGTGTGGTGGGTCTGTCCAACTTGGTGCCATATTGTGCAACTAAGTTCGCAGTGCGCGGCATGATGGAGGCGCTGCACGAAGAGCTGCGCGAGGGACCCTACAAGGATCTGGTAAGCACTAAGCACTTCTGCATCTGCGAAGTACACTTAATTTTAATGTGATTTTCATGCAGATAAGAGTCACAACTATATTTCCATACATGACCAATACGGGGCTTTGCAAATATCCGAAGGTCAAGTTTCCTACCATTTTGGGCTTGCTGGATCCCAAAGAAGTGGCAAAGCGCATTATAGAGGCGCATCGATCCAATAGTCTGGAGGTAACGATACCCAGCAGTCTGATGTACATCAACAACTGGACTCGACTGTTGCCAAGTAGTTGTGCAATTATGCTAAAAGACTACATTGACAGTGGTGTGGAGTCGGATTTGAATTAATTATATATTTCGCTCATTTGCTCTAGAATATGTGTACGTATATTTAATGTTTTGGCATATTAAAGGTATTATTGGTCATCCCAAGCCATCGATAAAAGCGTTTTAATGCAAGCTCTTAGAAAATTGGTTTGAATTGGCGCTAATTGGCTTTTGCACAATGCTATATTTATCGATATATATATATCGGTGGCGATATTCTGCTGGTCACACTTTTGTTTACACTTAGCACATCAACAGCTGTCGGCTGAACAGGTCCGGCAACTCTGGCTTTAGCTCAGCTGTGGCATGACAACAAAGAAAAATGGCTTGCGAGGTGAAAACATTTGGAAATATTTTAGATTTTCGAAAGGTTCAGGAATACTTTGGACTTGGTCATGGTAAAAATTTAAGAATTGAGCATCAATATACGGAAATTAACTGTTTTCCAATGCCAACTCAGACGACAATTGGCTTAATGGCATCAACTATGCCATGTCACCAACTGGAGAGGCGATTGCCCTGGCGCAGGGTGAGAAGCTGGCATTTTTGACCACCTGCTGGGACAGTCATGGCCATGAGAACACTTATGCGCTCAGCTGGTGTGGCGAACTAGAGGATGCCAATCAAATAGTCACCAGTCTGATCTGCATGCCCATGCTGCGTTCCTCAGACATCGAGTGGACTTGCGTGGCAGTGGGTCTGGCCTCCGGCATGGTGATATTCTACACAGATACGGGTGTTAAGCTATTTTCGCAATGGTAAGCTATGGAACTTTATTGTTAGCTCATTAATTGCGAAACATTTCTCCGCTTGCCAGTTGCCAAGAGGAGTCCGTCTTAGGCATCAAATTGTTGTCGCCGGCGCGTCATACAGAAGCCGATGCACTGCTCTACATTGTCTACAGCAGCTGCATGTGCTTTATCAATGGCCAGGACATATTGCCCATACTGGCCAATTGTCGTCAGACCATACAGCGTAGTGCTCTGGAGCGTAGCGTTTATCCCAGCGCCGATGTGGTGCCGTTTCAGAAATACAAGTTCAAGCGCCAGCGCGAATCTATTCTCAATGATGCTGCCATTGTCACGAATCAACGATCGCCCACCTTTGATCACATTGTAAATCAAAGCATTGCGTTTGGCTACTTCGCCAAGGTGCAGGCAACGCCTATGCGAAGCGCTCAGGTGCTGGCTGCCGGTGCGGAGCCTTATTTGGGTTTCTTTGAGGCCGAGGAGGGCTACAAGACAGTATCGCTGGGCGAGGTGGCCAAAGACGTTATTGGCATGGCGTACAAAAATATACTGGGTGGCCTCTTCCGACGCGCGCCGGAGACAACGGCCGCCCTGCCCGAACAGATGCCGCTGCCCAGCAAGGAGGCGCCCATGCGCACACGCTGCCGCCTGTACGATGGCAAACGTGACGGCCTCACCCTGGCTTTGGCGCCTGGCGGTAAATTGGCCGCTGTTACGGACAATTTGGACCGCGTGATGTTGGTGGACACACAGCAGGCGATTATTTTGCGCGTCTGGAAGGGCTATCGAGATGCACAGTGCGCCTTTATGCCCATTAAGGAGCGTTCTGTGCGTGGCATTAAGACGCACAAGCGCAAGGCGCTCTTTCTGGTCATCTATGCGCCGCGCCTGGGTTGCCTGGACATATGGGCGCTGCAGAATGGGCCCAAAGTGGCCGCTTTCAATGTGTCCAAGAGTGGCCAGCTGGTGTACAATAATCATAGCCCTCTGGGAGCTGCGGGCGTGCAGATGCGTCGGTCGCCCAATCTGAATCATTGCCTATTTCTAGATCCCAGCGATGCCAGCCTGAAGGAGGTGCACATACCATTCCACTATGCACTCAGCGAGACCAACTCTCAAACATCCCGGGATATACACTCGCTACGCCGCCTGCGCAATCAACTGCGCACGCTGACACATTCTGGCGATGACAGGCAGCAGCAGATCGCCGCCATTGCCCAGCTTGCTGGAGACCTGGAAACGCTGGAAGTGCGTCAGCAGTGCCTCGAGATGTTACTGAAAAGCAAACGCCTGCAGCCGGAATTGTTTCAGAGCATTGTCGATGCCTTTGGCCTGGCCAAGGCGCAAGCGGAGGATGCCGCCACCCAAGAGTTTGTCCAACAAATTGCTAACTACAAACGTTTGACCGATCTCTACCTGACACTGAGTCGTGCCCAGAAGCAGTGCTGCGATAGCGTTGCGCTGCCAGTGGAGCTTCTCGAGCTCTCCGATGCAGATTTGGTGACCATCAATCAGCTGGTCATTCTGCTGGAAAATGCTGACGAGGAGAAACCCCCAATACGTGAGGTTAGCTTTCAGCTGCAGGACGCACACAGAGTGGAAGAGTTCGTGGATTATCTGAGCATATTTAACATCGATACGCCCAACTGTGTAACACTGCTGCCATCGAAGTCGGATAAATATGGCAGCGTTAGCTCTGATCTATTTGGTTATTTTCTTGCCCAGGGCCTGTGCCTTGAGCAGTTCAAGCAGTGGGTCACCGATGCGTGCATTCCTAGCAAGGATCTGCTAACGCTGGTCATCTACTTTTGGCTGGAGAAGCCCTTCAAGTATAACAACTGGTAAGAGAAGTAAATAAGAGAGTTAGCTGCTTTAACACACACTTTCTCAACCACAGTGATGAGGTCGTCGAGGATATGTCACGCATTGCGTCCATGGTGCGTGTCATCTGCGAGCTGGCCGGTGAGCATATCAACGACTATGCCTACAATGCCATCTCGCCATGGTGGCAACAGGTGCGTGAACTGCTGCTGGAGAGCAAATACTTCTCCGGCCTGTTGGTGGCCATTGTCTGCCGTATGGTGGCAACACAGCTGTGGCGTAATCGACGTGACGGCTCCTGCGACGATAGCGCCACGGAGGAGGACGAACGCTGGGAGAGCATATCACACGATGAAGCACAGTGGGGCCTGCTCATCGGCAAGCTGGAAGATGTGGCCGTGCTGGGCGCGATACTAGGGTGAGCTTTGCTTAGCTTTGAGTGTGTCGCGAACAAGCAATAACCGGTGTCCCTCTTCTTCTGACTGTGTCCAGTCAGCCCAAGATCTGCCGTGAACCCATTGGTCCAGAGTTGTTGTATGAGCAGCCCGACTGCAGCTTGAAGAACATTCTGAGCAGCGGCAAGGGCATTGTCTCGGAGCTGACAGCCAAGTGGCTGATCAGCTCGCGGCTGCATCCACGTTCAATTGTAGAGATAACGCCGCCAGGAAACGAGACGGATGATGAGCCCGACATCAAGGCAAAATCGAAGACCAAGGCAAGTCAGCAAAAAGTGGAGCAGGAGAAGAAGCTGGAGGAAGAGGAGGAGCTAGCGGCAATTGAGAATACGGAGCAGGCGGGCAAACCCAGCGAACCGTTGGAACCCGTGCTAGAGTGCTTGGCACTGCTGCGTGCGCATTTTCCCTTTAGCCTGGAGTCGGGCGTGCTGCTGAGTCTGATGGCCTGGCAGCATATGGTGCACTGGAGCAAACAGCTGTCCGGGCTGGAGCACATGCGCGCCGCCTTGCGTTGCCTGCAGGAATACCGCACGCCAGATCTGGCGCTTAAGCATGGCACCTGCTGCCTGCTGTGGAATGCCACGCTCAAGTATCCACTGCAGGCGGCGGCCAAGCTGATGCAGAAAGTAGGTCGCCTGCCGGTGGACAAGATGTGCCAACAGGATCTGGACATGTCTGCAGCCCTAGTGCCTGAATTTCTCGAGCAGTGCCTGGAGTTTCTGGAGCATTTCACCAGCTCGCTGGAGCACGGCAAGCGGGAGCTGCAGTTCGAGCAGGCACTGAGCGAGGGGCAGCAGCCACTCCAATTTCTGGCCCTACAGCAGCATTACGCGCTGCCGGAGCTGCTGCAGCTGCACACACAGCTCTGCAGCGTGCTGCATTTCATAGCCCAGTTTCAGCTGCGCGTGTCACGTCCCCTAACCACGCTCTTCGATGCGCTGGCCAACAAGGCGCTGCTGGTGGATATCAACAAGGAGCTGACCTATACGCTGCCGGCTCCGGATCTGGTGCTGCAGGAGCAGCGTACCCAGTTCCTCTGCAATGTGGTGGCTGCGACAATGGATCTGATACGCGAGGATCTGGAGCAGCTGTACATACTCGATCATGTCTACTATATGGCCAAGATTTGTGCGCTTGCCGACAGCTGGCGGCTGGACAAGCTTCCCATACTGCGCAAACAGGTGAGCCCATTTGCAGCCACCAATTCCAGTTGGAATTCCAACAAGTGTATGCTCTTGCAGGTGGTGGAGCTGTATGCCTTTGGCTATGATGCAGAGGCGCAGCTGCTGCTGCAGGACATTAGCGAGGACGAAGAACTGGGTCCTCTGCTGCTGGAAATTGCCGGCAGGCGTTTAAATCTCTATGCGGAGGGGTCCCGGGCGGCCTTTCTCAAGATTGCCTCAGTGGGTCACCAGCTGCTGGCCTATCTGGATAATCTGGTAAGTGTGCTCATCCTCAGAACTGAACTCACGCTCACACAAACCCTACCCTTTCGCTCCGCAGAAGGAAGCCAGTACAGAGCATAGCATTGCCATAAGCGCCAACAAGCCGGAGGAGATTAACGTGGTCCTCCTGGACAAGCTGATAGCCCATGCCTATAAATGCCTTAGTCGGGGCGGGTCCAAGCACCTGATCACCGTCGCCCAGATGTACAATGCGGTGCGCATGCTACAGACATGAAGGAATTGAATTCACTTTAATTTCATTCCCAGAGCAGCTGCATCCAAATATTTATGCCCCAAATCGAGAACCAAATAAATAAACACATTCGACCAGATTTAAAGCTAGAGTTAATGGGTTTCCTTGTCCGTTTTGGCTTTGGGCTTGCCAAGTACAGAGCTCGTCCTGGCATTGGCTTTGGCTTTGCCTGGACTGGAGCTGCGTTTTCCTGGCATCAAGTCCGCCTTAAGTCTGCCTGGAATGGAGCTGGTCTTGGACTTGCTCGGGCTAGTGTAGGGCTTGGGGCTGCCAGCCCTGGGATGGCCCTGGCTAACGCTCACCTTGCCATACCCTGAACTAACGCCAGCCTTGGGAGAGCCCTGGCTAACGCTAGCCCTGGCCTTGCCTAGGCTGGAGCCAG